TGGTTTGGGATGTCAAAATGAAAAGGTTGGGCAAGATTTACACCTTCAGGCTTAACATCGAGTTTTCCTTGAAATAAACAGGAATTTGTGGGTCTAGAAAACATGTCCACTTTGAGGAAACATACTGAGAATTGCTGCTGGGGAGGGACTGTAATATGACTAATGAAGAGGCTCTCTGTAGCACTGGGATGTGTTTGGGTGTCACCTTTTTGCAGACAGAACCCAGCTTCATCCAAGCCTCAGAGAGAGGAAGGAAGGGAAGAGGTATTCATCTACCCTATCAGCTCTTCATGGTTTTGATAAAAGTAAGTGCAATTGCTGAATCATATGCTTCCCTTTTGGTCAGATGAGTTGATAAGAGTGAAACTAACTATAAGAAAGTAAATTAAAAGCAGATCGGAGATTACATCCCTATGGGATTTTTTCCTCTTGGATTTTGTCTGCTCCTCATAGACATCTTCTGCTTCTGTAATCTTTTTACTTAATCCTAGATAGCTGCAGGCTTCTAGATTTCAGAACTGATCGAGTTTTGCTATGGCTCTTGGTATCACAAATTCCTACATTAGAAGTTTGATGGCTTTCATTTTTGTGCATCTCTGTAACCAAAAATCAAAAGCAACTGTTCATCTTTTTGGCTGCAGGTACTGTAAAATGCACACACGCTAGCCCAGTGTTACGGGTGGCAGTATAGACTTCTGCTATTGGCATTCACAGACTGAAGCTTGTTGTAGTCTGGTCCTGTATATACCACAACCAAAGCATTTTGCTAACGATACCTGCACTGAGCTCTTAAATTTCTTAGACTGTTTCAGAACAGACATCTGTAGCAACAGGAACCACCTTACAACACAAATCCCGTGTAAGGCCTATTAGTCATCTGAGCTATGCGCATAGAGCTTTTAGACTAGGGAATTCAAACACTGGTGGCTGGATATTTATTTATTAGGAAGCTGTCTATGAGTGAAGCAGCAAAACCTCCCAAAAGACGTTACTTACTTCAAGCTAGTAATTTAGGCTGTTTAGTCAGTGGCTCTGCTTGCAAACCCTTTTACGGGATGCCTTATCCTGTTTTAAGATAGACGTCAGAGATAGGTGGAATGAATCGCATTCGAGGGATGCCTCTAACTCTCTGTTGACCATGGAAACAGCGTAAGCTCCGCAGCTTGCTTTTAGACAGCTGAAGGTAGAGGGAATGAATCCATCACACATACGTCTAAATCTTTTTGCTGGTTCGGAGCACAAGACTGCATTTGCTTTGTGGACAAGCAGGGTGAGCTTGGGTCTGCTTGCAAGACTGTTCGAACACATCCCTAATCCGTCCTGACCCTCTCATGGACAACCATAATGGGCCGTATTTCTCATCAGACATGTATCGCAGCAGGCAGCACATTCTTGCAAATTGTCCCAGAATACTCTCTGGGTTTGAAACTTGTTTTGTTTTATTGAATGCTGGATACGGAAATGGTCTCACTAATGCTTATGCAGGGACAGTACTACTTCTAGCTGATAATCCTCTACTTATATACGGAAGGATCCCCCTAGCTCTTCTAGACACAGTCCTGCGTTAGGAGATTGTTTGGTCAGTTTTATTATCCCATTTTCAGAAAGATTCAGAAAGAATTGCTACTTTCTGAAACAGTCTCTCATCCTGTGGTAAAATACATCTTCTATGAGCATAGTAACTATTTTAAAATCTGAAATTATGCTTAAAATCCTGTATTATTTCAAACACAGGCCAAACCCACCCTTCTTCTTGTTTAGCATTTTTTTTGTTCTAGGAACCTTGTTTGCTCATGAGCTCTTAATTGCATTTAGAACTCTAAAATCCCTAAAGCTAGTATATGAATAAACAGTTTCTTCTCCTGGAAATGTGGCATATAATTTTGTGCCTTCTGCAAGAGTTCCCAAAGGTTCCTAAGTCATAGTCAGATTGGAAGCTTGTTTGTGAAAAATACATATAAAAGGTACGATGTATAGGACTAAGACGTCTGCAGCATTATTCACCAGGGAACTGCAGGTAGATTTTTATGTAATTTCTTCCACTCATGGGCATTCACTGACCTTTTATCTATGATTTGTCACTGTAGAAGGAAAAGAGGAAAATGCAGCCTGGTGAGCTTTTCGCTTTATCAAGGAGTATGAAATCCTTCAATCCCCTATAAAGTGCCAGTCGGATCAGATGTCACGAACAGAAAATTGTCACGATCTGGCTAGCACCGCAGATCCTTCAACTTCAGTAAGTAAATGCCACCAACCCTGAATCTCTGTTATTATTAGATCTTACATCTGGATCTTTGGCATAAGTGAGCATGATGCAAGAGCTTGTAAAAATCACATGGCACCCCTTTGTTTTTTGTAATTAAGCAGCAGAAAAGACTTGTTGGATCTCCTACCTCAGTTTGCTGCCAGTGCAGAAAAGCATGAGGGAGCCCCAAGGGTAAATGTGAGCAATAAAACTCACTAAGTTGTCTGAAGGAGTATCAATTCAGTGTAGTGAAACAACGAATGCCAGGAGACCAATCAGTTAAAATACGATGCACAAGTACCTGCAGACCTGCATGTGGAACGTGTTCTTCTCCCTGTACTTCTTTTAGGTCCTAATTCAGCAATGCATGTGTGGAAGTGCCTTACTGCATCAGGACCAAAGACATTTAAATCACAAATGAAAAGACCGTCTACAACTAAATCCAGATGCTAGGTTTAGGGACACAGATTCTTCTGTGATTAAGTGGCTATACGTTTTATTGGTCAGTAAGGGGCATGGAAAGAGACCCTTAAAAAGTTATTTCTTCCTGCTTCCATTTCAAATTCATTGACAGTTGTATTTTACTTATGTTTTTCTTTCATCTTATTGTTAAATGGTGGCAAAGACTAGAATGTTAATTTTAGTGTGTATAAATAATTTATTGAATAATAATATATGAAAATGAATTTGATATGCTTCTCTATATGAATGACATTCTATTATTGAAAGTTATTAATCAGCACATTCCACTCCATCAAACCTAAATTTTTTGAGGAAGAGGAGGGGAGAAGGTGGAGAGGCGGGGTGGGGGGAAGGAAAAAAAAGTTGGAAAAATGCAGTACAGTGGGCTGACTAAATCTGAATACTTGGTCTCTGAAAATGCAGATATCAGTGTAATTCAAATCATACTGATGAGATACAGAACAGTTATATGCAGTCATAATAACAATTTATATACCATCAATATTAATAGCAGTGTCTGTTTGAGGATACAGTTTTAAAATAGGTACGTACAATTTTATTAAGTATAAAAAGACACCGTGCAGAGCACAATACAATATATTTCATCTTTAATTCTGGTAGTTCTCAAACTCCACTGTCTTAATTGATATTGTCACCAACGACCACTGGATAGAATTACTTCTCTGTATAAAATGAGGCTTCTCTGGATGAATTCATGCTGTTTGGTTTTAAAAATACAGTAATTTCCTTTCAATGGCTACTTACACTAACCAAACACTGTCAAGACTGTTGGCTAGCCTGCATTTGGTTTCTAACATATGCTATGATACTGCCGATTTCCCCTGTTTTGCTTTGCCTCTCTCTGTTTGAGAATAGATCCTTCAAAATATTAATTGTTTCTGACTTTGCTCCAAGTTCATAACCAGAACACTGGTTCAGACCATTTCTACATTCCTCACGTTACTAAACTTTCACTGACATCAGCTGGAGTTTTCAACATGCAAGGACTGTAGGGTTGTCCCCTAAGCTCCTTTTCTCCCCCAGTCTTTTCTAACAAAGCATGGAAGGCATGCTGAAAATGATTATTTTTTAGAATTTGGGGTTCCATTTTCTTATTTTCTTGAAAGTAGATTACATTTATAGCCTTCCAGCTTTGACTATTTTCTTTGGAAAAGCAGACTTGTAAACTTAAGAACTTAGTTATATATTTTGTTTGCACATTCCAATTTGGTTTGATTAAAAAAAAAAAAAGTCAGAACTCTAACTTCAAATTGATTTAAATGATAATGTGCAAGTCTTAAAAGAAACAACTTATACTTCCTCCTCTCTAAAATATATTTTCATTAGACTGGAAAATAAATTAAAGAACACAGAAAAGCCGAGATTATGCTGTCACAGTAATATCTGCCAAACAAAGCTTGGTCTTTTGCTAACGTTAGCTTACTACATTTGCAATACATGCTAAGCAAAGACCCTACTTCTCTAACAGGTACATTCAGACAATATATATTTTATGGAATAAATATATAATAGATCCAGTTATAGATTTCTGAATAGTAATAATAGTAATATAATAGATACAAGCAATACCTACGTTTAAAAATACAGTTCTAGGATTCCCTAACTTTACTACTAATAAAATTAAAATTGACCTAAAACTTTCTCACTCTGTTGATGCATAATAAAATATATGGAAACACGAAGAGTAAAAAGCCAATTGCTCCTACAAATGGAATACTTTATAAATATAGTAAATTGCTATTTCCAGAGGGAAAATTGAAAATTATAAACAGGACGTTAGGTTAAAACAGCTCTACAATATATAGTACAAAGTGGCTATGAAGCGTGATGTATGAGTTTGATGTCTGTGGCAAAATTTTGAACTGATGTAGTTGTTCATTTCTGGAGATAACTGTAGAGAAAGATTCTGTCCCCAAAAGCAGCCAATCTTGATCTCCTTAAAACAAAACTTTCAGTGACTAGAGAAAGCCAACGGGCCAATTTGTCAGAGTAAGGAGTGCAAGATTAGATCAAACAGAATTATTTGGAAGCCCTGGACTTCTGTGTTTCATAGGGTTTACCTATCATGCTGTTCTCATTAAGAATAGAGTCACAGAAGTACTATATGTCTGTGACTGCTGTGTGCTGAAAAGCCTTATCATGAAGGTACCCTCCCTATGGCTGTCTTAACTCTATTATTCTTGTACTGCACATTCTCCAGATGAATTCTGTTTTGTGTTCCTGTAGTTGTTTCCTTTTGCTGGAATACTGAAGTACAGCTCTGGTTGCTTGATTACTGAACTCTTGATCGAGGCTTTTTTTTTCTTGAGAATAACCTAGAATTAAAGAAACACATTTCTCAGAGCAAGCACAAGGAATTGAGGAATTACGTTGCTGGCTGTCTTTGCCTGCCTTTCTTCTCTTTCAGTTTAAAGAAAAATTTCAAATCAGTAAAAATACCTTACTTGCTAATGAAAAGATTTAGGTAACTGAAAAAACGAAAAACTTAATGTAAGACGTTCATCTCCTGCAATGGACCTATTTTACATGGAAACCCAAAACTTACTTCATGAAATACTACTGTTTATACCTCCTGCCTGAGTTGGGGCCCTGAGGCGGGATTCAGATCCCACTCGGAGCCTTTGTCTGCATCAAAGCTGGAATTCTGGTGGTCACAGGACAGGGGGTCTACAAGGTGGTTTTTTTTCCCCCTAAATATCAACAGAGGTCACTGTCAACATCAATAACGATGAAACCATCACTGGGAGCTTGTCGTGGTTTAACCTCAGTCGGCAACTGAGCGGGGGAGAGAATTGGAAGAGTAAAAGTGAGAAAACGCATGGGTTGAGATAAAAACAGTTTAATAATTGAAACAGAATATAGTAATAATATACAAAGCCAAGTGATGCACAATGCAATTGCTCACCACCCGCCGACCAATGCCCAGCCAGTCCCTGAGCAGTGGCCCCCCGGCCAGCTTTCCCCAGTTTATGTACTGAGCATGATGTCACATGGTATGGAATGTCCCTTTGGCCAGTTTGGGTCAGCTGTCCTGGCTGTGCCCCCTCCCAGCTTCTTGTGCACCTCCAGCCTTCTCAGTCCGTAGAGCATGGGATGCTGAGAAGTCCTTGACTAGTGTAAGCACTACTTAGCAACAACTAAAACATCAGTGTTATCAACATTGTTCTCATCCTAAATCCAAACCACAGCACTGTACCAGCTACTAGGAAGAAAATTAACTCTATGCCAACTGAAACCAGGATAGAGCTTCAACTTCTGACCATTTGGGGACTTTCTGAGTCACCTGTAGACTCTTACTGGTACAAACATCCTGTTTTGGGAACACCTGGTATGAGATGTGGAGGATTGGGATGTAAGTCATTGGGACATGCTTCCTACTTGATTTCATTTGGGCAAATGGAGCATATCTATAAATGTATTCATGTCACAAACTCTCACTGATTTCAGAAAAACTGCATATATGGAGAATCTCTGTACCTCACATGCCATGTGTTTTGACTACACTGGGAAACTTGCAAGCCTCTTGGAAGCTATTGTAATATTGAATGTCAGTCAAGAGTGAATGAAATACTTCCTATCAAACTGGAGATGAGAAGTAAGCACTTGTAGGTTCCCTGCAGAGGAATCACAGAGTGAAGTTTGGGTTCCCTGTAGTAGGGAAGGGACTAGGAAGGCTTTTCTTCACGTACCAGCAGCAAATCTCGATGTTCTGTTGCAGAGTGGTAACAGAGTATTTGAAAATACATTAAACGGTGTCTAAATCTGGTAGCATAGTCTTACTTGTCACAAATGCTCTGGTTTTTAATTAAAAAATGTTCCCAGGAACTACAGACTTCTTATGCAGTCTTGCTTGTAGGTAAGTAAGCCAGAGCTGCATAGGGGCTACTGATCTCGAGGTGACTAGTTGGAAATTGGCTCCAGAATTTGTTAGGGCCTTTCACCTATTTTCAAAATGCATTTTTACTGGGACAGACCATGTGGAAATGTACCAACAAATGAGCTCTGATCATCCTCCCTGCAGTATGTGCTTGCCAGGGCTCCGAGGGCACTGCCAGCCCTGACCCCTCCCTGGGCTCCCCCCACCCTGGCCCTGGCCCAGGACCCCATGTCAGCCCCCCGGGGCCGTCAGGTCCTGCCCCAGTGATGCTGCAGCAGGGTTGGTCTCCAGCTCCCCACAGCCTTGCCCTGCCCGGCCACAGGCCCCAGTGAGCCGGGCCCACCCGCGGGCCTGGCTTGGCCTTGGCTGTTGCCATCCCCAGGGAGGTGCCTGGTGCCCGGGGCTGGGGCTGCCCCGGTGCCCCACGGCTGCTCTGCTCCTGGCTGGGGGTGGGACGGGCCCCTGTGCCAGGCCCTGCCCTGACAGACCCCTGGACCCCAGGAGCTGCTGGCCCAGGTGAGGTGCTGTCAGTGGGCTTTAGGGAAGACCAATGAATCCTCTCACCTACGACATATGGTTTTGCTGTGTAGTTTGCTGCTGTTGCTGCTGCTGAATGAGCAATTGCTGCTGTTGCCGGCGCCGGGCTGTTCTCAGCTTTTCGAAGCGAGCCTCCATCTCCTCCAGCACCTTGGGAGTGTAGCGTACCACCAGCTTGACGCTGTCCTTAGCCGCCTTCAGCAGCTCCACTGCCTTCTCGTGGTGTTCTCCTTCCACGCTCTGGGAGCAGAGAGAACAGATTTAATAACGATCTAGAGCTCTGTGCTCTTTTTCATACGGAAAGGCTGTCAGGGTTTTAGGAAGTTTCCACACCTTACATTTTTCAAGGGACCATTAAGGGTAAGTGTTGAGTTAAGTAAGATTTATGCACTGCTGGGAATGCATTCATTTTCATATTTTAAATAACCCAAATCTGTTTTAGGTTGCATTACAAACCTAATTGAAAAGGAGAGGAAATACTCAACAAGCTTTACGCAAACAAAAATAATGTTAAAAAACCCCAAACCCTGCAGTAAAAACCCAAACAGTCTGTTTGCAAGGTACAAAAATAAATATTTAAATGTTGGTAAGAAATGAGGAAATTGCACGTTTGAAATCGCAATTCCTTTCTTACACCCTGGCCCTCTTTGGATCCCGCAGGGAACGACATGTGGTGATTAAGCAGTTGCTGAGCTGCAGGCGAAGGAGCATGCCCGCTGCTCTCAGGGACAAGCCGCGTCTTAGTTAATGGCATTGCTCACACGTTTAACATTTATGTGATACGGGTTCTCTATTGGAAATAAACTAGTCTTTATCCAGTTAGTTGTAAGCAATCAAACGCTAACATCTGAACCATTGCAAGTTCTTGCTGAAGGAATATATATTTTCCTTCCCTTTCTGGAAAATGGTTTACAGTAAGATGATATCTGCTGTGAAATCAAAAGTATTCCCAAAGGGGCTCAAGCTCTGATTTCTATGCTAACATTGTTTGAAACAGTAAATTTCCAAAAGGGGGAGGTGACTCTGCTATGAAAAGAGTATTTAATTTCTACCATTAAGTGGACTGACCGGAGTGCTTTTCAGGCATGTGGATTGTTCCACACCTTAAGAGAAAGGGAGAAATTTTCTAATGGTGTATGATTGCCCATGTATGTCGTAGGATACATTCCAACAAACAAAAGTATCTCTGCACGGAAAAAAAAAGACCGCACAGAGATCTTCACATGGATTTTAGACCATTTAAAAAATAAGTAGTTTTCTTCCCACATAAAATAAATCAAAGTTTTACTACATGCTGTGTTTTAAAATTCTTACGTATACCATGCTATTTAAAATGAAACTATACCCATAGGCCTCCAAAGAGAAGCAGCAGCATTCAAAATATTTGAAGTTCAATTCATGCTAAAAGAATAACTAAGCATCGTTATAGCAACTGTCAGAAGCAAATTCTTTCTGTTTTCACCTCCCCTATTTGACTGAGTGGCATTGTGCAAGAACAGTGAATAAGAATTACTTCTGCTGTGGCACACTGTGAGCTAGAAATAATGATTTGAAAGTTTCAAAAAGCAGACACAATACACTTCTACATAAGTAATAGAAACAACACAATTCAAGCTTATCGCCTTGCTATTTATCTTTCTTCTCCTGTTAAATATTCTTCAACATATTAATACAAATAATTATTCGTGTCTGGGTCAACTGACTGGACCCAATAGTTTCTACAGAAACGATAAGATGCTTCAAAAATATTAATGCAACTTAGAGAAATAATGACTGTCATTTCAGGTGCTGAAATGATTACCAGAAACAGAGACAACCTTGAAGTAAAGAGACATTTGATTGTTGAAATAAATGACTTCATGTTTTTGAACTGTATGTTCACGAAATCCCTCCAGTAGGTCTCCTATTCAAAGATCTTCAAGAAAATTCATGATCTGTGGTGACCGGATTTATAGAAATTGTGATTGGGATAAATCTGCTGAACAAGCACGGCTACCCAAAAGTAGTTTGGAGAAAAGAGTTTCCGTACAAATATTTGAAAAAGAGGAAATTGTTGTTGCATAAGAAACAGTGAATGTATCTAATGCTCCAAAGAGAGCTAAAATAAAAAGCTATAGATGCACAGGGTGTTTTGTGAAATTGCTTTAATGAACAAGTCACAGATACAAATTAAAACCTCTTCCCCATGTCCCCTACCCCATAACTGCTCAATGTTAGAAGAGGGGATCATAACTAACACATACTGTAACTAGCTATCTTTTATAACTCATTGCTTTGTGACTGGCTTTGATACTGGCTTTTGTAAACACAGTGCTCACCTTAAGAGGAACTGTATAAAATTTGGCATTTTGGGATGGGCATTTGGGCATATTTCATTTTTTGCTTGTGAATCATGGTCAGTATGACGTTGCATGGACATTCAGAGGAAACGACAGTGTACACAGTGTTGTTGTGATCAGTTTTGCTGTGGAACAGTATGAACTTAGAACAGGCTATGAACAAAAATTGTAAGCTCCCAAGCTACATGAAGTAGCTAAAATATTCATTTGCTTTCAATGAGTTGGATAGTTCTAACTGACCTCGATAAGCAATTGTGATTGTATCTGTTCTGTAGGGGAATAACAAGATGGTGTACTTTAATACTTCATACAACTTAGTAAATTGTATTTAATTCATGATTGCCTGTTTTCTTTCCCGTTTGCCTCCGGCCTTGTTCTTCCAGTTTAAAGCCAGTATTTTCTAATTAGAAAGGAAGGGTTTGACTTTGTTGCTATCCAGGTCAATGGAAAACTCCCATTGACTTGAATAGTAATGAAACAGAATTAAGCCTAAAGCTCTGAACCATAACCGAAGAGGGGAAAATAACAAAGGCAAAGTAAAAGATAGTGCTGCTAAATACGAATCCTACTCTTCAAATGTACCTAACTCAGGTCTTAACAACTACAGTTTTCAGTTGCCATTAATATGATTGCTATACTTGCTCTTAACGTCTTCATTGCTGCTTGCACTCGTATTTCCAAGGCATTACAAATGCTTCACCTGCATAGCGGTAGCTGCACAACTTAAATAGCAGAGCCCCTTGGAGTAGGGAAAAGAGCTTATACCAGAAAAGGAAGTATATCTTTATTTAATACGTAATTTTTGATTACATTTTTGATTTATGTCTGTATTTCTCTTATTGTATTGGCAGACTGCACCAAAAAAAGGGATGCAAAATACTGTAGAGACAAGAACTGCTGAAAGAACTGCAGATATGGTGTGGGGAAACACCAACCATTACTGTATCCAGGCTCACAGACTTGTCATAAATATAAAAGAAAAAAATCCCACTGTCTTGCAGACAAAAAAAAGAATCTGATTGTTACCCCACAAGTTGAGAAGAGTATTTCTATTAGATATCTGTAAGCAAATGCTTGGCTGAGAAATTAGCCATTATAAACCTATTTTGTATCCCTTTCTGTATCTGACTCACACCAGGTATCTGACAAATGCAGAATCTTTGCCAGATATGAACAGCCACCAGCAAGTGCCTTTGCTGAGCCATCTGCAGGGCTTACTGCTTTCAATTTCCTTTACTTTTAGGGGGTGTGGGACAAAAGCATGTAACAAAATCCCCAGCATAATGAGAAAACACTTTTTTTAACATCCTGTGAAACAGCTCAAGGAACAGTCATCCCAGTCATGCTGGGATAACAAATGTGGATTCTGAGCACGCAGCTCTAATTTTATGTTGATAATTATAAAGTTGGATAACCACCAAATTCTGAGCACAAACAAGCTACAGATATTTCATTTTATGTTCCACTGCTGAGCCGTCTGTTCTATTGTACCTACTGTATATTATTTGCTTTTCTCCAGTTAAATTGAGAGAAGCACAGAGTGAACTAGTCCCAGTGAAGAATGTTAAATTTAGACCTTTTTCCTCCTGTCTCAAGCTGTCTGCAAACAAATTACCACTTCTATAATTTTTGCCTTTTTACGAGTTATATTGTATGGGCTTAATTCAGCCCAAGATTGGTGTATGAACAGTTGCTCATAGGCATTATTTCAAGTATGCAACTGCAATTCAAACTTTAAATTCTGTTGTTTAGAATCTGAATGCGAAAATATTTCTGTTGCATCTTGGAATCAACTTTCTCATGTGCCTACATGCACTTGGGAATTTTATATTGTGTTTTTTTGCCACATTAACCTAATGTATATTCCAGAGCACATTAATGAAATTTTTTGAACAAAGTATCATGAAATAGAGGTGACAACAGTCAAATTCAATTTATCTTGACATCTGAAGGTTTGCCACTTTCCTCCCCGGTATTTGCCTAGGCACTGTTGACAGTAAAAGGATTTTTCAAGAACCATCCATCAATTAGTGAATATAAACTCTTTTTATCTGTCTTTTTATTCACCTGAACAACAACAAAATTATTTGATCTACTCCCAATCAGTGAAGTTCAGGCAATTTACTTATTAAATGTTCAGTTGATTTCTTTTTCCCTGAGACTAAATAATCTTTTCAGTGGGTTTTCTTTTTTTGTTTTGTATCTTTTCTTTCTCATTGTGTACAGGGGTGAGTAAGTTTCCAGACCTATTATTTCTCTTTTCAGAACATGATGGTTGATAGAAGAAGTTGTAAAAAGTCTGCCTGAAGTGTTGCACTGATATTTTGTTTCAAGAGAAAGGGAATAGCTATTGTTGAGAGAAACAGATGACAACATGAAACCATGTAGAAAACAGCATTTTTTTCATTCTTTATGGGCTTGCAACAAAGAGGAAATTTAAGTTGGAAAGTCTTATATTTATGACTGGATTCAGGAATTCCTCCTACGTGCCTTTGGTGTATTTAAATACAACGTTTAGATGGAGGTTTTGCATGAAAAAGGATTATGTTTTCATTAAGAGAAGTGTAGGGTTATATGAATGAGTATGCTTACCCTTTCAGTACTTCACATTCCCTTGTAAAAGGGAACAAAAAGCAAAATGAAAGGCAGAATTTGACCGATATCATGTAGTTAGAGCCTTATTTTTCCTCTCTATTCCAAGACCCCTTTCTATTTTTACCTCCATACTGACATTCACAGTGAAACTACTGCAAAACACTCCACCCTGAAGTATTGACTTACTTACATGAAAAATGACTATGTAACAAATGTACCTTTTTACTGAAAATACGTGCTCCCTGTATGTGTTCGTTTGTACGGCTGATTTCTCTGATGAAGATATCACAACTGGATGAATGTCACTGAGAGAAGGCTGGAATGTACCTTCCATTGCAAATCAGCACCAAATGTGCTTACCAAGTTTCTTTTGATTTTATGTGTTCAAATGCTCTGAAGGTCACAAGGCTGCACAAGTACCACTGAGGCATTACTGTGCTTGGAAAGGGCTGAGCGCCTCAGAAGCTATGAAGTGCAAGAACGACAAAGCCTGTTATTATGCTTTTACTGCAAAAGGAATTTGCAGAATTATCAATTAAGAAAGACACAGCTTCCTTGTAAATGAAGCACGCGGTGTGGGTTTAAAATGAAGCTCTTCAAGCACCCTCCATTACAACAGAAATTGTAGTGGCACAAACTTGTGGATGCAGCTTTGCCTCACTGCACCACAAATGCACACTGAAGGTCTCTCACAGAGCTGCTACTTTTTGTTTCATATGGCTGCATTTTAAATCACGGTATTAGAACAGCTGTGAAAAATGCAAATCCAGATGAAAAATGAAAGCTCTATCAAATTTCCACATACCACTCCATTAACTGAAAGCAGCTGGTCCCCCCGTTTGAGCCCTCCATGCCTTTCTGCCACTCCTCCAGGAATGATGCGAGAAATGTAAATAGGTGAATTTTGTTCCTTTCCTCCCATGACATTAAAGCCCAAGCCTTCATCAGTCTTTGGCAGCTCCACCACTCGCGGGTGTGAATGGCCTTCGCTTGCAGCAAAAGCAGCAACTGTTGCCTGGAAGAAAAACACGAGTGATTTGGCTGTGTAGGGAGAACACTGATACACACTCTGTTGTTCATTTGCAGGAAGAATTCATTCCTGTGAAAACATTTCAGTATCTTACTCTGACTTTTTCCGATTATCTGAAAGCATTTTAAAAATATTAAGTTCCATGCCAATGCTTTTGAAATAAAGGAATAAGCAGAGAAATAGAGAGTTTAGGTGACTTGTCAAAGATAACGCAGAAAGTTAGCAGCAGAGCCAGAAGTAGGCACCGGGAAGCCTGACTGCGTGGTGGTGAATATTTATGATCACTAGTGCATTTCTTCTTTGCCTTGTCACAGGGAGAAAATTTATTACTGTGGGATAAGATAATGTGACCTCTACTGTGTTCCTAGTTGAAGTAAAGTGGATAAACTGAATTGTTAACTCTCTGCTCTGCTTTCAGAGGTATGGAATTATTTATTTTATTCTTTGGGCACAGAAAAAAATCCTAAAAGGATATTCTTATTTTAGAAAGTTTAATTTATAATCTTTATGAAATCTTGCAAACTAAATAACTCCTGGAACAGGAATATGAGTTTTTATAATATAATTGGATCAAAACTTTTATTGAAAAAATAAATCTTAAGACAATGGATTTATAAATCAATTAGAAAAATCCTAGATTGTTAGCCTTACTCTAGCAAAAAACCCCCACGTAACAAACTGTAAAGCTTGCATCCAGAAAAATATGACATCTTATACTTCATTTTTAACTACAAGTATTTTCCTACTTATAGATCTTAGTAAATCATTACATAAACATTAAGAAAATCTTTTATCCTTTTCAATGCGTTTGTAGTCCAAACTGCTCGAACAATTCTGCATTACACTAATGTTTTTTGAGCATCCTAATAATGCTTATGCTTAATAGAAGCTAGTGGATGATGTGACATAATGGATCATTCTCAGTTACATGTTTTTGCACATGCAGACCTTGTCATCATGCATACATTTTATGTCAGACATGAATGCACTAGGAGAATGCAATACAGACAGCCCAGAAATAACCAGGAAATATTGCGATATTGAAACATTGCTCTGTAACCCTGCTGTTCTATATGAATAAGAAATGAGAATGGCAAACACTAATAGGATTTCTCCCCATTTGCTATACAACACAGCAATAATTTCTATGTTTAGCTGCAGTGTAGACAAATCAGGATTTCATATACACATTTCTCTATATAGAACCATAGACCTTACTAATTTACATTGTCCATTAACTTTCAATTAGAAGAAGGTTAAAGTCAGAAGAACAGCCTACAGAAAAGAACGTTCTATTTAGTAAGGAAAATACACTGCAATTTAGCGTATATTAGGTTATTTGCTGGCTACTATACAGCTTCTCTAAGATACTGTAGAAATCATTGTGTAACACACTCCCAACCTTCATCTTCTGAATAGCTTTGAATTAAAATCTCTTAACATAAATACATAACAGTAAGATCTTAGTTCCATTAAGATTTCAGAGAGTTTTGTCACTAACTTCACAGGAGTGGGACCATAAAGAAATATCTCTAAAAAAGATCTATGGCTTTTGCAGGTTTACCTGTTTTGCATAGTATCTGCTATACCACCCAGAAGATAGTGTTGAGTACAAAATGATAATGGGAAAAAGAAAGCCATGGTGGATCTCCACTGTTTGGAAGCATCTATTTTTGTGCATGTTATGAAAATACAGAGCATATTTCATACTGGCATATAGAATGGGTTCTTTCATGGTTGTGTGAATTCCCTTAGAAAATTATCATTTTAGTAGTAGCAGTAATGTAGCTGTCATGGCCTAAGGATATGAGAAAGGCAGGTCCACATGGACAAAGAGACAATATATTTTATTAAAACAGGTAATGCATCAGAAAAATGGGCTTGCATTTGGCTGTGGAGTCTCTTGGTCAGGCCATTTTTGTCACTGCTCATCCTTACCACTTGCTCAGTACCTACAGATCCCATTAGTTACAAGTGGAATTTTGACTGTTTAGTTTCTATCTCCCAAATCATTGTGTCCTCTCAGGATGAGCTGTATGGGAAAATAGTCCATTAAAATATTGGTTGTTGCAGGCAGACTTCTACAGAATGAACCAGTAGATTTGCTTTTGCAAAGCAACTTTTCAAAAAGCATCAAATTCCATAAAATCATTCTCTTTTCTTAAGCTACAGAAGCAGCATAAAGGTTGAAATTTTCCATTATGATTGTTACCTGGGAAGTAGCACTGGTTCTAGACTCTGGGCTGCCACTGATGTCTAAATTTTCTTACAGTGTACACACGAATACCTGAAACACACACGCGCACAGTCAATTACTAGGTCACTTTGGTAACACGTATTTAAACAGTTGCACGTATCCTACCTTTGCAGTGGCCCTGGCTCGGAATTCGGGGCAGCCATTAACAGTTATGGTTTCATGCATGTATTGATACACCTAAAACGTTCATGAAAATAAAATGAAATTAATTAGCAAATTAATGAAATTAATTTGCAAAAAGCAAAACAAGGACTTTATATTAACCCAGACAGGACAGTCCCTTTCCCTCATAAGACTATGTTTCATTAATGCTGTATTCATGCAATCACATAGTCAAGTGTCTGCTAAACTTGTGCATGCTTAAGTTTACAGAGAACATCAATTTGTGTTTCTCATGACACTTTGCAAACTTAACTGTACATCTTCCAACGCGATTCCCTTCCCATCTCTAGCACATCATTTCCCAAAACCAGGACAGTTAGGTTCTATGTTATCAAAAATTGGTGTCTCCAGGCAACTGATTTGAATGCAAATGATGTGAACTGATTTGAGTGGTGTCTTAGCCTCCAACAATGGCTTCTTTGTTCTCTGAACATTCCTATGAACTAAAGATTTAGGAGACTGATGTTAAAAAAATATGTAAGTTGCTCAGCATACAGATGCTGAAGAATGGAAGTGAAAATAAAATTTTGGAGAAAGGTCACAGTACTGGTTTCCATCAACCACAGCTAGGAATGCAAAAAGGGCTGGCAGCCTGGTAGGTCAGACACGGACAATGTGTCAGATTACCCTTCAGAAAGGAATTGCACATTCACATAAATGGCATAAAATCAACATTGCCAATATGTACAACTTTCTGTCTGTTGTTTTTTTCTGGTATACACTCTTGGCCCACTTTCTCCGGTCCTTAACTCTCCCTTTTAAACATCTTCAGTAAGGAGAAAGGAGAAGGCTTTCTCACACTGCCTTTGTTCTCTAGAATCATAGAATCATAGAATCATTAAGGTTGGAAAAGACCTCTAAGATCATCGAGTCCAACCGTCGACCCAACACCACCATGTCCGCTAAACCATGTCCCTAAGCGCCACATCTACACGTCTTTTAAATACTTCCAGGGATGGGGACTCAACCACTTCCCTGGGCAGCCTGCTCCAATGTTTAACCACTCTTTCAGTAAAGAAATTTTTCCTCATGTCCAATCGAAACCTCCCCTGGCGCAACTTGAGACCATTTCCTCTTGTCCTATCGCTTGTTACTTGGGAGAAGAGACCGACACCCACCTCACTACCACCTCCTTTCAGGTAGTTGTAGAGCGCGATGAGGTCTCCCCTCAGCCTCCTTTTCTCCAGGCTAAACAACCCCAGTTCCCTCAGCCGCTCCTCATAAGGCTTGTTCTCCAGACCCCTCACCAGCCTCGTTGCCCTTCTCTGGACACGCTCCAGCACCTCAATGTCCTTCTTGTAGTGAGGGGCCCAAAACTGAACACAGTATTCGAGGTGCGGCCTCACCAGTGCCGAGTACAGGGGCACGATCACTTCCCTACTCCTGCTGGCCACACTATTTCTGATACAGGCCAGGATGCCATTGGCCTTCTTGGCCGCCTGGGCACACTGCCGGCTCATGTTCAGCCGGCTGTCAACCAGCACCCCCAGGTCCTTTTCTGCCAGGCAGCTTTCCAGCCTCTCTTCGCCAAGCCTGTAGCGCTGCATGGGGTTGTTGTGGCCAAAGTGCAGGACCCGGCACTTGGCCTTGTTGAACCTCATACAGTTGGCCTCAGCCCATCGATCCAGCCTGTCCAGGTCCCTCTGCAGAGCCTTCCTACCCTTGAGCAGATCAACATTCCTGCCTAACTTGGTGTTGTCTGCAAACTTACTGAGGGTGCACTCAATCCCCTCATCCAGATCATTGATAAAGATATTAAACAAGACCGGCCCCAGTACTGAGCCCTGGGGAACACTGCTCATGACCGGCCACCAACTGGATTTAACTCCATTCACCACATTCACTCTAGACTTGTCACACTTTAGATGAAAAATATCAAAAAATGCCTTGATACTAACCAGTTATTTTGAAAGCAAACTTAAAAAATTAAAATATTTATATATAACATAGGAATTTTTTTTTAAAGACAAAAGTTACTGCAAACAAAAAAAAATTTTCATTTAATTTTCTTATAAAACCACCAAACCTAAAAAAATGTTCCTATATGCCACTGATTTACCCTGGGCATTTTGACCTACTTCATCAGGAATTTTGTCTTTTCATGTGCTTTATGTCTCAGGCTGCATTCCTCAGAAAGAACCTTTGCTGGTAGAGTATGTTAGCTTTTACAGCAATCTCTTCCTTAGGGTCCTTGAGGAGTGCAGATTCAATCGCACCTTCCAAAATATATTTACCTTTCACTGATCTGCTGATACTTTAGCAGGAGTGCCAAAACTTCCCTCTTTGGTAATGTAAATGTTACTTTGGCAGAGAAGGTGTCAGATCCTGTACTTAATTGACCTACAAACAACGGCTTGTCCCATTGATAGGTGAAACTTCCCCATCCCCCGATGACTTGTTATGCAGTATCATAATGATGTATCTCTCCCCACTGAGCCTGTTATTATAAAACTTACACACTGACGAACATATTGCTACAAACATTTAAACGGAATTAAGATGTGTGGCTCATTTCTGATCTTAGTGGACAGACATAGTGGTCATCAAACACTCTTGAGTAGTAAAATGTTTGGGATGACTGATCCCCAAACCTTTTTTGAGGGGTATCATACACAAGGGAAAGGCAAAAAAGGAAAGGAGATAACAAATGCAATCTATTTGAGAGATCTAAAATACGCTAAATACTTTCAAAGTACAGCAAAAAGATTATCTGTCTTGACTATTGTCAGCACGTAAGTCATTCTAGGACTTAATTCAGAAAAACTTGGGCCAGTCAAGAAAACTGAGACAAGAGGAGCACGGTGAAAAGCTTCCTGCTTTCTCCATTTGAAATGAAATTTTGCTTCCATTGGTAAAATTGACATTGACGTCCGTAGAGGCCAGGATTTTGCCCTTAATTTTAAAAATATGGAAAAAGAAAGCTATTTTATAGCCTCTAAAGGATCTCTGATTTGTTCTATCGTTGTACTGGATGATGCCATCATAAAAATAGGTTGAGTCTACATACTCAGCATTATCTTGCACAGAGCAGTTCAACGTTTATTGTATTATGTTGTAGGACATATTCTTATGTAAGAACAACTACTACATTATATAAGAATAATACTGTGTAATTGCAGTAATGAATCATTGAATACTTGTTACTTTAAAACCCATACTGTATCGAAGCACTGATAATGTTGTATTTTCTTGATATCTGCAGGTTCCCCTTCGTCTTAAAACATGAGAGCAGATTGTACACATCATTTCTGCTTGCACAGCTATAAAACCTGTGGCTGGCTATAATGTCTAAAAGCATATATTTGATTATTGAACTATTATGACATTAAATTGTTTTGAAAACAGGTCACAATATTTCAGATATAGGAACAGTTACTAAGAAGTTCTTTAAAATATTCATTACTAAGGTAGAATATCACAAAGGCGAGCTGTAATGATACGTTCATGTGAATATTTGCTAGGTTTGATGTCATATAACTCCATATTGCCTGCATCCTACCAGTACCTAGCTGGTAGGCTTCATAATATCCAATATCCTGGTAACTAATTTGTATACTGGTGAAAGAACAAACTCACTAGTGTGTGATTAAACTAATATGTTAAAAAAAAATCAACTGACTCAAAAACTTGTGAAAAATATGATCAATAATGTCATATAATCCTTGGGTTCATTTGTAAATTCTCAATGATAACAGATTTAAAATGGCATTCTGCAAAGAGTTATCAGTGATCATAATATCTATAGCACAGTTCTTAGGAAAAAAGTCTTGCATATCAAATCTCACTCCCTATAAGCAACAGATGTCACCAGTCTTGAATATCTGCTTGAGGCACTTGTAAATCTAATTGTCCTATTTGACTGTTACATAATGTTTAATGCAATTTGAGTTTAGGAAGGGTAAAACATACACCTACATAACTTTCTTCTTATTAAATCAGTTTAACAACCAAACACAGATTAACCATACCTGTTCCACCAAGCCCCTTAAACTCTTTGTAGGGTTCAGATCTAACCATTGCTCATTCTAGCAATGCACAAAAAGCACACTGAAGTCCGTAAATAATCATTGTTTGCCTGTAGCCACACTAACCCCTTTATCTACGCTGTTTTCAGCACCACCTTAGCCATGATTTGTGCACAACGAATCCATTCTGCTGCCTCTTCTATGTACACAGAACAGATAAACTGAAAATCTCTTTGTTCTCAAACTAAATAAGGTGGCATTTAAATCCTCCCGGAGTGGAATATAGCTTCTTGTTCAATCCATTGTACATGACAAGTAATTGAAATGTTTTTATAAAATCTTTCCTTTCAGTGCCTACTATTATCTGTACATCTGGTTACATTTTTAGCATATAGCGATTCTCCTGAATCTAACAATGTTATCCTTAAGATGTCCTTCTAAGATCTTCTGTATATTTCCTTATTTGGACAAAATATCGCTTAGTACAGAAGATGACAAAGGTGCAGAATTTAATTATAAGTATTTGAAAAGCTCCTTTAGGATATTTACTAAAGAAGTCTTTTAAAACAGTGACCTTTGTTGACCATGACAGATGAATCATTTCAAAAGACATCATCGTGTAATATGAATGAGTTGAAGAAAGACAATTAACATATCACAGACTGGTTAAGGTTGGAAGGGACCTCTGGAGGTCATCTAGTCCAACCCTCCTCCTCAACCAGGGCCATATAGAGCCGGTTGCCCAGGATGGTATCTAGACGGTTACTATATGTTACTAATTTAAAAAAGAGCTGCATATCTATTTTTGTATGTACAGCTATTTCTTTTTAGAGTGTCTAAAAGACTACATGGGCGTTTAGTAATATTATTTGCTGGCACACTCCATACACAGTCTAATGGTCTAGTGCCCAGGGAAAAGTTTCCACAATTCATTAATAAATTATAGGTGAAATGTCAATGTTTCAAGATGCAAAGCTGCAGCTGTAAGGTAAATGGTAATGTGTGTCATTTGTGCTGTGGAGCTAGACGTACTTGGCTTTGTTTTCTCTT